TTATTTGTCTTACCACAAGTGGCAAATTCTGTAAATATACATAGTTCTGTGAGAGTGACTGAGGCGGTTATTTACCATGCCAAAGACTATTGACGAACAATGATAATCACTTACTACACTGTCCTCCTGTGTGTGTAAATAATTAATTGTAATTTTTTTTTTTTTTTTTACTCTTCGGTCGCTTAAAACTTGTTCGCTTATTGATTGTTTTTATCTTGACTATACTATAGTAGTTGATAACTTGATTTGATAAGTTAATTTAATATTTTACTTCTTGAAAAATTATTTACTAATGATGTGACTTACTTACCGCACTGCAAACTTTGTGACAAACACGGTGATTTATCGAGATTCCTTGATTTAATCTGATTTGATTTTGAAGTTTGCCAGTTGAGCTGCCATTCCTCGGTCACAGCGTATTGTATGAATCATTAACAGTTAATAATAATTTTAAAAACAAACATCGGAGCTTTGCTTCAACTCCAAGCTTCTAAACCTTCAACTTCATTTATTACTAACTTTCGCTAATCTTGATTCTAAAATTATCTAATATTATAATAATAAAATTTTACATTTTTTAATAAATTATTTTGTATTTTCGATTTACAGTTGTGAAATTCTGAAATAATTAATTATAATATTACAGAATTATAGTTTTTTTAAATAAATAAATATTACTTAGTAAATATATATAGATCCGACAAAATAAAAACATGGAAATTCGTGTGAAGTTGAAGTCGTAGTCTAAGTGTCCAAACAGTTATCAAATGTGTGCTATTGTTATTAATTTAAAAAAATGTATTTGTATTTTTTTTATGCTTGCACACCATTTTATCTTACACAGCAAGTACAAATAGTGTTGTCAAATAAAATATTAGAAAAGTGTGTCCCAAAATGAGCACGACTTTTGCACATTCATTTTGTAAAAATTACTGATCTTGATTATAAGATAGTAAAATAAGCAGAATCGACAACTTGTTTTTCTTCCTATGCCTAGCCTTCTACAAGATAAATACCTTTAAATAACTTTTTTTCTAGGTTTCCAACACTCTTGTAAGTCCAGTAAAATAATTAAGTTTGGCATTAATTTACACAAATATTTTTTGGAATGTTTGATCTTGTAATTCTGTGCAAGCTTTTTTTTTTTAAAGCAATTAAAAAATGATACCCATGCAGTGCAAAAATAACAGTGGTGCCTATGGCGCCATAATAATTTTTGCGTAACTAGATTGATTTTAAAAAGTTAACATCCCCAGCTTTTACATTAAGTGCATTCAGTATCCATTTTAGTATCTATGCCCTCCTTTTAAACAGGAGTGCAAGCCTTTTGTTTAACAACTATATGTGACGAAGTGATACAATATGGAAATTCTATAGGGCAGGATGGCGGCCTCGATTATGGCAATTGGCTGTAAACAGTGAAGGCGATTTTTGTTGTTGTGTTGAAATATTAGACAACAAAGTTCAGTTGAAATAAATGCATACTTGAGGTAAACAAACATTTCAGTTTTGGTTTCTGTGGGTAGGATGGGTGCGCAGAACATAAATTAATAAACAAAAGACAATGCAATAATAATAATTCACAACATAATGAAGTGAGACAAACACAGAAGGGAAGTAACTACCAAAGTATCCTAAAGAATTAAATAAAACTAAATATACTTTCAAAATCAACTTAGGGTGAGATGTAAAATTATTCAGCCGACTACTTCTCGTTTAGTTAATTGTTAAAAAGGGATATTTTCAGTTTTACTACATTTCCTAACTAATTCAGCTTTATATCAAAAAGTAACAGCAGAGCTTAGTAACCTTCACAATTCATGTGAAATAAAAAATTGGGTTTTGATATATGTTCCCCCAGTGGGAACAAATTAAGGTCGTTGGTCGAGGTACTGCTTAGTTAAACACGCAGACATCAAAACAGTTAGTAAAGTAATAGTTAGTATGAGTCACATCACTTTGCAATGATCTTTTTGCCAAGAATCAAGAAAACAAATTAGCTAAAAATAAGAGGAGCAGAGTGTGGTTTTGTAGCAGGTGAGAATACAGCAATGTTCTAAGAAAATTAATATATTATTCTGGTTCTTTAGAGATTAAAGACCTACATCTGTGTTTTCGCGGAATAAATTTTTTTTGATAAATAGAGACAAACTGATGTAAATACAGTTGCAAATTTTCCAGATTCTTAACTCTTTCAGGCCCATGAATTTTGACAGACTTGGCCCACATTAATTTCCCTTTACAAAAATGGCAGAGGGGTGGGTGTACAAGAAAGGCTATTGAGATTGTAATATACTTCTAATCCCTATAAAAGTATATATTTTTAAAAAGAGAAATGAATGTACATTTTGAATGTGATGTTAAGTGTTTGTTTAATTTTGTGATAGTTAGTGGGAAAGAAGAATTCAGCAGGTGTTAATTTCACAAGGACAAAATTTCACCAAAAAAATTCTTCACTTACCACGGTTTTGCAGCCACAAGAGTAGTAAATATTCAAATGTGAGAATAAAACTTCAAAGTTTGTTCAATTTCCCAACATATTCCAAAGTTATGATAACTTTCTGGGTTAGTTTAGCTCTTAGTTCTCACCGAGTGCTAAGCAAAATTTCAGAGAAAAAATGGCAGAAAAATGAGCCATTACACACACACTATTTACTATTTACTTTGTACAGTTATTTAGCTGCAATGATTTCAATGTACCTTAGCCATAGTGTAGAACTGTCTCTTTGTTTAGAGCACTTTCCTTCTCTTACACCATAAATACGGTAGTATGGGACATTGTCTGTGTCTTCAGAATCGCTAGATTCTGAACAGCTGATCGCTCAGCTTCACTGGTAAAAATTCACTGTCAAAATCACTTTCCGAAAAATTTAAATTTTTATTATCGTTATCACAATTAAAAACATCTGACTGAAACAATTTCAGAGCTTCGGCCGCAGAAAGACGTATTCTGCGACCTGTACTTGTGGTTGGAACATTGGTATTCATGGCACTCAAAAACGAACTTAGAAAATGAATGGCTGAAAAAAAAATTCGCTGCTTTTTCTCTCAAATTATCCACGTGTGGTTAAGTCCAGGAAATGAAACTAAAAGGATTTCAGCAGAGTGACTTTCCCTGAATAGTTTAATCGTACCTCCAAACACTAGAAACTAGTACGAAGACGTGTGCGAAGCAAAATGTAAGGGACACAGGATCGACGATGACACCGTTGTTTGGGCAAAACGGAATGTCTCAAACAACGCTCGCACCGTTGTTTGGGCCTTAAAGAGTTAAGAAATATTTTAGAGATGTTTTGGAACAATTTCTGCCATAGAAAATGATGTAGGTAAAAATCAGATCAATAGAATTGCAGCATGATATATAATTTATTTAATGCCTTCAGACCTTTATATAGTTTAACAATTAAGAAATGATTTCTTTTCCCTGTAAACTCCGGCAAAAGGTCCCGGCTGTTTATCGACTTTGGTCTTGTTCTAGAACTTGAAATTGATATGACCACCCATTTTACAGAACTGGCTTATTTTTATGCAGATTGTTGGTTCCTCAGCGCTAAGGCAAATTCATTCTGACTTCAAAGGAAATCTCCCTAAGTAGTTGCTTTTTATGACATGATTTTTTTTTTTTTAGGGGAGCAGTGGATTTATTCTTTTTTTTTCTCTCCAATGTATCGCTTCGGATGTTGGGGATGTAAGGTTCTCCTTTCACTCCTTGCAGCCTCCACCATAGACATATTACTCTGTTATAGAGTGTCTCTGATGTTATCTTTCCATATTGTTCTTGGTCTACATACCTCATCTCTTTTGCTGTGTGCCTTGTATAGTATGGTGTCACAGTGCTTTCTCTCCAACTGGGCAAAACCATTTCATTTGCTGTCTGAGGCAATCACAGAGCAAAATACAGTGGTATGTTTAACTTACTATACGTCCTGTTTAGACGTTAATGGTTTTGTTTTGTATACGACTCGCATGCTAGAACTCAAAATTTATCACGATATCACACTCTACTCTTGTTTACCTCAGTCATTAATCAAGGAAATATTTGCCAAACACTTTGCAGAGAAATAAACACAAACAAGCCGTAATAACAATGTCTGGAATGATCAATTTCCCATTTATGAAACATTCTGAAAAAGAGAAGCAAAGTTTTTTAGGCAGATAATTAGTAAAGGTCAAACATGGTGAGCCTCAACCAGGTCCAGATATGGAAAAGACAAATAAAAAAATAATAATTTCAGATTCCTGCAGTTTTGTTCTAAGGGGATGCTGCTTCCAAACATTTCCTCCTCCACCTTCTCAGCAGTGTAAAGGGAAATTAAAATTGCATTTATTTCCACTGACTGCTTTTGTATTTTAGTGTTAAGCTGTGTTCAGATTATTTTATGCAACCCCACCAATATATAATATGCGAATAGTAACATTTTTATTTCATCTAAACCAATTAGTCATTTTATTTCTTGTGGGAACATTTGTTTGGTGTGCGTCCTATTTGGTATACATCCAAGGATCTGGAACTGATTAAGGATGTATACTGAGATACTACGGTATCTATAATATGCAAATAATACAGTATTAATTACAGGTGATTATAAATTATCTTCAGCATGTATTGGTGCTATGCCTCCCCATGGGGGTTCTGGTGCCCATAAACTATATTGTGCTATATTAAAGCAGAAGGGGGGGGGGGGGGGGGCTTAAAGAGGGATAGACATGTAATTGATAAAGCTGACCTATATATATATATTTGTTTATGTGTAAATATATGCACACTTAACTTATATAGATAGTGTTTACACACACACACATATCTACATAGTGTTTTTTCAACTTCTGAAACATCTGTCTGTCTAATAGCAACTGTATATTGTGGGATTTGTTAGTTGAAATTAGTGATTATTTGTTAGCGATGAGTTGCTTGATACTATTTCCTGTCTCTTCTACAGTGAAATTGCTGACTGTCTGTGATACCTAGGTTTAATACAGGTACAGAGCAAGACTTCACCATGAAGACAGAAGAGTGGCTGTGTGACCTACCCAAAGCCTGTCGGATACTTACGACTCCAGGGCTCTTGTGTCAGTCGGTTTTACATGAGAAACTAGAAGAAATTGCAGCAGAGTTTGTCTGGCTTGATGAGATCTATGATGAAGCTATTAGAATGTTTTCTGTAAAACGGTAAGCTTCCACTTAATTAGTCAGGCACCAACACATTGTTAGTTCTACGATGAAGCTATTAGAATGTTTTCTGTAAAACAGTGAGCTTCCACTTAATTAGTCAGGCACCAACACATTGTTAGTTCTACGATGAAGCTATCACACATTGTTAGTTCTACGATGAAGCTATCAGAATGTTTTCTGTAAAACAGTAAGCTTCCACTTAATTAGTCAGGCACCAACACATTGTTAGTTCTACGATGAAGCTATCACACATTGTTAGTTCTACGATGAAGCTATCAGAATGTTTTCTGTAAAACAGTGAGCTTCCATTTAATTAGTCAGACACCAACACATTGTTAGTGGCTTAGGCATAACAAACACAGTTTGCAGTTCTGAGATGCCCTGTTTAATTCCAGCTGCAGGCATTTAGGGAGCAACAGCAAACTATTGAATGTTATTACTTACTTACTTAGTCGCTCCTCTTCTACCTTAGGGTGTATAGGTTTGCAAGAGAGATCGCCAGACGTCTCTATCAGCAGTTTTCCTTCTGGCTTTGTTCCATTCCACTCCTCTATCAGTTAGGGACTGTCGGATGTTGTCTTCCCAGCGCAACCTGGGCCGCCCTGGTCTGGTTCCTTGGTTCTTAGCCTCCCATGTCTGCCATGGTGGCCGATTTTCTCCCATTCTGCATACATGTCCAAACCATCGTAACCGTGACTGATCCACTGGGTAAGGACTGGGTATCAAGATCTTAACGTATTGTCTGATTGTGGACTTTGTCACTTGGACCACCTTTCTCAGATATCTCATTTCTGAGGCCTGAAGCTGGCTTCTGTGAGCTGTTGTCATTGCCCATGACTCACACCCATAGGTCAGACCTGGTTCATAGGTAGAGCGGTAAACAGCCATTTTCGTCCTCTTGCCAATTTCTCTTTTTAAACGTTATTTTGCCTAGTAAATTTTTTTTTAAATGCTCGGTTTTATTCTGCATACAGGGTATGCAACTAACTTTTGCTTATTTAAACCAGCACATTGAAATTTTGCTGCAGTGAATCTGTAACGTTTCATAAATCAGTTAATTGCAGTTCCGTCATCATAAAAAGTGTCATCACATAGTTGCCCCATTACTGTACCAACGAAAACAATACAGAATGTCCATCAGTCTCCCTTGTGAACAAAATTGTCTTAACAAATCTAATAACATAAAGTAAAGTAGTATTTAAAAAAAAGTCTGGCTCAGTCTAATAAACACATTAAATGTTTAAGGCCGTTGTTAGAAGTGCCAAGATGAATGGCAGACACTAGAAATGCAGTTCACCAAGCAGCAGTAAGGTCAGAGTGCATCTACCTGAGAGGCAAGGAACCAACAGTTGCATACAGAGAAGCCAGATCTGTAAAACTGGATGTGCATGCAAAACTCAAGTTCTGGAACAAGAAGTAAAAGAATAACCAGAACTTTCCACCAAAGTTCACAGCTGATGAGCAGGAAGAAGAAGAAGGTGGGGAATAGACCCACTGCTGTTTCCCCCCCCCCCCCTCCCCTTTTATCTTTTTCACAGAATGATAAACTGATGTATAACAAGCTAGATGTGGTCAAGGCCCTTCGGTAGCTAGGGACCTATGTGAAAGCGCTAATCGATCATGTGGAGCAGCATTTGGTGACCAAGGGGGATCAGGCCGACTCAGTGGAGAGGCAAGATCCACTCATAATCAAAATACTACTGGTGCCATCAGCATTAGATATCTTTACTTGTTCCTGAAGATAAGAAGTGGGGTGTGTATGGAGATGTCCCATAAGTGCTACGATGATGGATCTAAACTCAACAAAGATCACATAATCATCGAATAATGCAGGTGGATAACGTATTGGCTGTACACAGTTGTAAATATTTCTGAAATGTTTTTTCTTCTTCTTTTCTGTTGACAGTGCAAAACTGGAACAGATGCCAAAAACTCCTTCTTTAAAACAGAAGGGAGGTAAAGCGAGTAAAGCAAAAATTCTCAAAGTAAAAAATGAGTCTGAAGACAGTGAAAGTCCAGTCAACATTAAAGGTGTGCCTACAAAACTGACATTTGAAAGGTATGCACATGTTATGTGTCCTTTACTTTCTTCTGCACTTTATCCTCTTGTTGGAGCATATCAGTTAATCAAGTGCTGTTTCCATGGTGCAGGTTGGCTGCAGTGGTTTTCGAAAGGTCTGTCTCTTGTCCTGGTTGTACACTCTCTCAGTCTGCCGCTTGTCCATCTTTGTATGTTGTCCTTACTTTTATTACCGTCTCTCTCTTGCCTGCAGTGCCTAGGCATGCTGGGTTGATAGTATATACAACAAAAATTAAGTATTATTTGGGGTGGAAACTGTTTTTTTTTTGTGTGTGTGTAATTTTGACATAATTGTTATCTCATTATGACATCACTTTTCACTTTGTCCCATGCGGCTTAGTCAACCAGTTATCACGGTCAAAGGGGAAGGAAAGCAGTTAATTTTTTTGCTATGTTAGTATTTTGTAATGAATTCCCTTAAACTAATTATTTTCCCTTGTAAAAAGACCCTTTTCCACACCTTAAAGCATATTGGGCATATCTCTTCTTCGCGTGTACCAGTTGTAAACTCCGGCAGAAAGTTCTGATTGTTCGCCCACTTCTGGTCTTTTTCCATAACCTGAATTGTGCATGTGTATCTGTTTTACAGATATGACTGATTTGCATGTAGCTGTTGGTTCCTTGTCTCTCAAGCAGGTGCAATCCGACTTTGAAGGAAACTCCCAATTAGTTGACTAACATATACTTACCTTCATATATCTTTTTCGTCCTTATTAGGACGAAATTTTTCGTTATTTGTAGCCCTACCCTGGCTTTTGCCAGGGGCCGCAATATAGGCAGGCCATAAATATGGCCAATTGTCTGAACGCGGTTTCTGGGACCTCTCCACGGCGATCCTCATCCGCATGGTGACACTTTGTGTCATCGGGTGTTTATCGCTTGTGTGATGTCCTAGTGGGGTAGAAAGTCAGTCAGTCAGTTAGTTGACTAAACGACATGCTTTTGAGTAGGCAGTGGGTCTGTTCTTGTTTACCTACAACATGGCCCCGGAACCCACACAGGAGTACTGGCCATATAGTACTAGACCTATATTTTATAGACCAATTAGCACTTGGAAGGGGATGTATTCAGCATCACACCGACCATCTTTACTTCCCAGGACTTTTCCTGGTACCTACTCAAGGCTTGAGCGACTTGGGAGCCAGTGTCATTTTTCTTTAGTTAATAGCCTGCTCCTTCAAGACCTGAACCTACAACCTGATCCACAGGTGAGCGTCTAGCCACTACACCACTGCAGCTCCCCCTCATAAAAGTGAATACAACTTTTTCGGTAGTAGTTTTTTTTTTTTACGCTGTGATGTTGCAGTGTTCACGCTTTTCTGTGTGCCTAATGGTCTGGGGGGTCAGCCCTCCTGGATTTGTATAAAAACTGACCATGGCTCCTGATTAACTCCTGATTGCTAATGCTTTTTGTCTAACAAATTTTTAAACAGGTCATGGACGTCTGTACTATGCTGCCCTAAAAGTGGTAATTATGGGCACTAAAAACAGTTTATGTTCTTCTGCATTTGCCCTTAAAAGGGTGGGCACATTGTATTGTGGTTTACAGCTAGATTGTGATATCTATGCCTTTCAGTCCAACATATTTAACTTCAGCGAACTCCTGATAGTCAGATTTCACAACATGCTTATTAGGAGGCAATGTGGCTGTTTTCTCCACAAAATGGTCCCTAGGAACTCACATGAGAAATTAATGTTCACATTTAAACATATCGGCCATCCTCTGACTAATGGTCGGCAAAGATGGCGGCCGCAAAATATCCTTGCGAGCCACAGTCGCGTGTCAATTGCGCACTAGCGGTCACGAGCACACCGCGGCTGCTGCTCGTGGGTCCTAGCCATCTAGTTTAGCCCCATTCCAGGCCGCTTGGCTCGTGGGGGACACGTGGCGGTGGCGATGGTCTTAAGAAAAGCGCAGGAGAACCGCAAATTAAGTCACGCAACTGTGGCTCATAAGGATATTTTGCGGCCACCATCTTTGCCGACCGTTAGTTGGAGGATAGCCAACATATCTTTTAATATAATTGAGATTCTTACAGTATGTTTTTTCTTCTGTCAACAGCCCCAAGAGCCTATCAAGCAACAGTGATAATACTGTGACCGGAGGTGGTCGACCATTACGCAACTGTCGGGCCACATCAAAAGTATCGTACGTAGATGAAGACGATCTTCCTAAAAGATCCACGCGACAGTCCAAAAAACCAATCAACAACCACATATCGAACAGTTCCTTATGTACTGAATCTTTACAGAAAATGTCAAGTGCCACTGTGTTACTAGAGGTTGAGCCATTCATAGACAGTATGACAAAAGTGAAGACACGACCGTCCGTTGTTGCCAAGCAAAAATCGGAGGAAAAGAGCCCCAGTGTTAGAGATCGCACAAAGGCCTATGAGTCAATGCTGAAAATGCGAGTGAGTGAAAGTCCTGTGTTAAAACAAGGAGGCCTGGCTGGCATAAACAAATCTGCACATGTTGTCTTAGAAGTAATCTCATCTCCCACTGTTTCTGCCTCACCTAAAGGTCAAATGTCAGGACATTCATCAGATCCTGGGTGTGGTCATTCTACAAACGTACCATCGGCCAAGCAGAGTTCTGAGGTAAGAAACAAGTAATGGTTAGCTTACCTGGCATCTTTGACATTTTTCTGGTTCATTTGTTCTTGTTATTGTTCTCCTGTCCAACCTAGTCATTATATAAACCGCTTCACTCTTGAGCATCTTTTGAAGGAACAATTTGCGATTTAGTGCATGCTGGCTGGGATTGACTATTGTCATGCTTAAAGGCGTAAAATATCCCTAATGTGGTTGATCCGTAATGTGGGCGTCATCTTGCTTGTGTAGATGAACTTTTGAGATGTAATGCCTGTGATGGTATTTGATGTTGATGCATTCTAGTGTGGGGAACAAAAAGAATAGACCCACAACTGCGTGTTGTAAGAGTTGACTAATTGTGGGTGTTTCTTTCAAGGTCAGAGTACATCAGCCTGTGAGGCAAGGAACCAAGTCACAATAAATATAAAACCAGATCTGTAAAATGGATGTGCACGCAAAACTCATATTCTGGAATAAAAGTCCAGAAGTGGATGAACAACCAAAACCTTCTACAGAAGTTTACCACTGCTGAACTTGTATAAGAAATCCACAGCTTACAGTGTCTCACAATGCTCTCAACTTTTAGGCGATGGAACTATACACTTTTAGTTCAGATATGGGGTGTCAAAAAAAAATATCTTTCCATAACCAAACACAGTAATCTTGCCTATCTGCCAAATTATACCGGCGAATCAAACTTGCACATTTAATTTCCTTTTTGCGTGTTTGAGATTTCTAATCATTTTTAATTCTTTTTTTTTTTTTAATGAAACATTCTATTGTCTTGTTACCATTTAGATTTCTGCAGAGGTTGATGGAGCTAGACCAACAAGAACAAGGCTTAAACTGAAAAAGCAAAAACAGGTATAACTTCTGCAGTTTTTTTTTTTTTTTTTTTTTTTTTTTTTTGGGTTAAGTAATTTAGTTTTGCGGGGTTTTTTTGGTGGAGGGGGAGCTCAAGTGATGGCGTCCGTCTTGAATGATGTAGGTCCCGGCTTTAGTCAGAAGTAGAAGAGAGCACTTATGGGTTACTACCCTTGTGCCATGATGTTGGTCCGTTAATTAAACCTAAACCTATCATGTTTTAAATTTGAACGTTTTGACATGGCTGTCTCATAGTTTAGCCAGGGATGCTTGAACCTGGGGGCTTATGAACCTTGAGTAAATTGTACAAGGGGGCTAAGCTGACCCTCTCCCATCCTATCCATAAATAGGACTTTACTGCTTCAGGTTTTGATTATACATATTTTATTGTTTGAAAGATATTTATTTTCCACTCAGCTTATTATTTGTGAGTACTCAAACAAGACAGGCTCATTGAGGTGTGTGTGCCCCTTCCCAATGTTTTCTTTGTCAGTGCCCCTTAATGTAGGCAGTTCTTTTCCTAAGGTATGCTGTGTTTTTAGACACAGCTGCCTCATTGTTAAGTGTTTTCCTGTAAATAGGCACCAGCTGATGATCTGGGAAATAAAGACAGCCAATATTATTTTCACATATTTCGCTGGATGCTGATTAGTCTGTACAAGTATGAGTCTGGTAACATGTGCCTGGTGTGATGAGTGCTACTGACTGTATTTATGTGTGTATCGGTTGTGTCTTGTTTCTGAGATGATACTTTTAGGAAAATCTAATTTTCTTAGAATTTTATCAGGAGAAAAACCGAAAAACGAAACAGTAGTACCTGTAAGCAGTGAACGATAGGAATTCCTCAGAAAGAATTCAAGGCCATTGATGGCTCGACAAGGTGCTTTATGGCACAAAATGACCCTGTCGTTCAGCTGCAGACAACAAAGGCACAGCAACTTCCCGACACTACCAGGAGAAACTGTTTGCACTTCAAATACGTGTTCTTGAAGTTACAGAAGACACACAATTACAGCATAGGGGCAGCTTGAAATGCAGGTGAAACAACAGTGAACAAAGCTAGTGAACAAAAAAATATCACTGCTGACAGGCACAAACTGCCACCTTACGTCAGTTTAAAACATAATGTCCTGAGCGAAGAAGAGAGATACTGTCTGGAATATTGGTGAGAGTGCAAGAGACAGGGTGGATGACTGAAACATTTTTGTATTGCTTATTAATACATTTTGTACAAGGGATACATAGGCCTAATATCTCGAATGTAAGCCCCACCATTTTTTTTTTTCATAAACAATATTTGGTTAAAATACTGTGGCCTGTACACACATAAATACAGTACTTTCAATAATCCACTGTATTCTTAGAATTGTTATGTAAAAAAAAACTTATTATGATTATTGTCTGATTTGATGAGAAAAACAAACAGGTGATGTCATTGAAGTTATTTTATGTTTTTCAGGAGGAGGAAGACATGGACGTTGGGATGTCCAGACAGCCTGATGCAACCAAAGAACGCAACAGTCGCAAGCATTCCATTCACCTGACTACAGATATGGAGACCGAATCTGATAGCTGCGGTCAGCAAAGTCCTGACCACCATAGAGAGATACTCAATGAGACCGAGACTGTGATCACAGAAATATACGATATTGGGGAGAAAGGTCAGCCGGCAAAGCTGAGAGAATTTGAGATTGTTCAAACAAAAACAACACCTATCTGTGAGAGACTGAGACCTCTTGTAGCAGCTGACTGTGTGTCCGATCAAGGGTTCAATGACGGTGACATGGAAAGCACCCAAGAAAGCTCTGATGACAGTCAGCGTGCAGACAGAGCTAGTCATGATCTCAAGGGGAAGCAGGTAGATTCATCTACACAAATTTTGATCAGAAAAAACTCAGAAAATGGCTGTGGCGATGAAAACAGTAGATGCAAATCAAATAAAGACTCAGGGGTAGTTTCAGAAGTAGCCAGCAAAGCAGACAGTACATTTGTGAAAGAGAAAAAATCTCTAGAATCAAAGACCAGGGTCACCCGAACCAGGACTAAGGCAGAGAAAGAGACAGTTTCACAAGAGACACCCACAGAAAGGATGACACGAACAAGGCAGCGAAAACAGGAAGAATCCCAGAAGACATCTCAGGATTTGAAACCTGCCAGGTAAGTTGGAAATGTTTTCCCTTTTCAACCTGCCTGAGATATATTAATGTTGACTTCCTGAGGCTTTATTTCTACACAGCAGTGTTCTTTAACTTTTTTAAAAATCTGCGAACCAGAAGAAAGATTTCATGGAAACAGCTGACAGCTCTAATATTTATACAGAATAAGACAAATTTGTGCTGAATAAGACATATTTTTGCCAAATTAGTTTTTTTTTTTTTTTTTTTTTTTGGTCTTTTTACAATAATGTTTTTTTTTTAAAGACACCTGTGGACTGGGAAAATAGAATATATTTTGCTTGTGGCCATTACAAAGCAAAAAGAAATGTAGACAGCATTCTATTAATTATATACTATTCTTAGATTACATACAGTTCTTACCTAATGCGGCATCTGTTGATGCGAAGTTAGAATATCTTATATTCATGTATGGAGTGTTGTTTTATTTAGCCACCATATGATTGGGTGAACATTTTTTGTAGACTGCCAGCCCATTGGTTGAAGAACACTACCTTACAGGAATTTTGAATTTTGAAAAGTTTAATGCACATAACTTTGTCAAAATAAACAAGCCGTCTGCTGTCAAATTGCATGAAGCTGAATCGAAATGTGTTTTAAGAGTATTTATAGCTCCTGAAAGCAAGCAGGAACAAGGTTACGAATACCAGCATAGAGAGGAAGTTGGAATAAGACCGTGTCTGAATTATATTGTTCCCATGTGAGCTTCAGGGCTCTATTGTGGGGAAAACAAGAATAGACTCACTGCCTCTCCAACAATCATGTCATGAGTCGAATAATTGGGAGCTTCCTTTGAAGTCAGAATTTATCTGCTCAGGCGGCAAGAAACAACCAACTGCACTAAAATAAGCCACTAAAATGGATGTACATACAAAACTCAAGCCCTGGCACAAAGCCAAAGTCCAAATGGACGAACATCCAGGACTTTCCACCGGAGATTACAGCCGAAAGAAGAAGAAGAAGAATTATATTGACAAAGAATGAAATAGTTTGGTTGTCTAGTGAGAATGCAGCCAAGCCCAAACTGCATTTGAGATTTTTTTTAAATAGCAAAACGTCTGGGAGAAGGCGAGGGGAAGACCATAAAAGAGATAGGTAAATGGTTTAGCTGAAACTGCAAAAGGATGAAAAAATTCATCATCCAAGCCAACAGAGAAGAGCAAGATAAATACACAAAAACCACCATGGCACTTGGCTACAACCTGGTATCAATGAGACCACAAATGAAGAAGATATATAGCTCATAAATCGTGGATGCCAGGCTCTGTACAGCAGGGACATTCAACTAAGTTTACTAAGGGGCCTGAATGTTGGAAAATGGGGATTGATGTGGACCAGTAGTCAGAGCCCTGGGATAGAAAAATCAGTAATTCAATACAATTGCATGGGATCTACTGGCTCTTAGAGGTGCTAACATCGGCAGTCTGTCATTAGAGTTGTGGTTCATAGTTCACCAAAGCAAGTGTACACTCATTACTGCTTAAGACACACCACCAGTTCTGTGAAAATCAGCCGCCCTGCCATTCTCTGAATTTGTAGTTGACAACAGAATTCTCCGGGAGATGTAACTGTTGGAATATATTATGATAATGTATCATAGATTGTATAAAATATAGCTGACATTATTTGCGAATTGAAGTAGCAGCGGCAGACTATTTAATTAGAAAACAAATTAAATGGTTTAATTAGTTAGATTTCTTTAGGTAACAAATAAAATGCTTTGACCGGTTACATTTTATTAAATAACAAATTAAGTAGTTTGAATAGTTATATATTGTTAGATAACAAATTAAATTGTTCGACCAGTTATATATTGTTAGAAAACAAATTAAATTGTTCGATCATTTATATATTGTTAGATAAATTAAATTGTTGAACCATTTAACTCTCAGCAACAGTTGCGCCCAGACCAAGCTGGAATTGTAAGAGAGGCATACCATGTAAATAGTAAATAGAAGGAAATTCCCCCCTTCCCCCCGGCTATTTTCAGTGTGTTTTTTTCTTCATATCCTGACCTGAATGTTTGCGCTGGCATGAACTCAGGACTGTCACTGATAGTATTAAATGTTTGATACGTCAGTGTTGCATGTTTGAACTGTCCGTGTTTGTAGTGAGCCTCATTTTCTCCTAGATAAATTATGCCCAGATGGAATGACGTCAGTAATTAATGAAAGTGGAATATTTTAAGTGTAACACAAGAAATGCTGACCAGACGAACTATCATGAAAATCGCGAAGAATTGCTGCCCTGGTGAAATTCACGGGGATCACATAGAAAGTGCTGGCCAAATGGAATTTGTGTAAATCAGGGAACACGGAGAATTCGGGAGTACGAAGAGGGGCATTAGAAGGCTATATAATGCCTTAGAAAGGGCTGGTAGTCAGTCTCGTTTGGGCCCAGGAACGAAGTGCATGGACAACGGTGGAAGGTGTGTGGACCCAACATGTGTTTGAGAGTGAATGTAGTTCCAACGTTCAACTTGGCAAACGGAGCGAGCAGACAAGATGTCTGCCGGCTGTGTTAGTTCTCCGTCAGGACAGCTGTTGTGTTTTTCGTTCATTGTGCTTGTTGTAGGACGATTGTAATTTCGGCTAAAAGGTAAAAATGATACTTTTGATATTTAAGTTATAATGTGTTCCTGGACAGTAGTCTATTTCATGTGCCGGCTGAGGAAGCCGCGAGTGGAAGAATAAAGTGAAGAAACAGTCTCATGTTGTTTTCCAGTCGTCCATTTTCTGCTCATCGTGTGATGTTGGTGTGTGAAATAGGAATCGTGCAATGACGAGAGCCAGATAGAAGAGAATAGAGAGTCATTCCAATGTTGAATGTTTTAACTGTCAGTGTCGCGTGTTTTCACTGTCAGTGTTGAATGCTTGATCTGTCATTGTTGGATGTTAGATCGCTCATTGTTGAGTGTTTGAGCTGTCAGTGTTGAATGCTTGGTGTGTCATTGTTAATGCTTCATCTGTCATTGTTGAATGTTTGAACTCTCAGTGTTGAATGCTTCATCTGTCAGTGTGGAAAGTTTGAACTGTCAGTGTGGAATGTTTGATCTGTCAGTGTGAAATGTTTGATCTGTCAGTGTGGAATGTTTGATCTGTCAGTGTGGAATGTTTGATCTGTCAGTGTGGAATGCTTGAACTGATAGTGTGAAATGTTTCATCTGTCAGTGTGGAATGTTTGATCTGTCAGTGTGAAATGCTTGAACTGTCAGTGTGGAATCTTTGCACTGTCAGTGTGGAATGTTTGGAATGTTTGACCTGTCAGTTGTTTGAATGTCAGTTTTGAAGGCTTGATCTCTTATTGTTGAATATTTGATCTGTTGGTGGGCTGTATGTCTTATCAGCTGTTTACATTGATTGTTCAGAGTTGTTCCACTGGAAGTACCAGCTATAGTGCAAGAGTCATGTGCAGTGACACGGAGCAGAATGAAGAAAGCTGTGGATCCAAACAAATTGGCTATTTGTGGGAGTGATGACGAAATCATTGCTGGGTCTCCGGTTGTCGCCCCTTCAAGAGCTTCTCTGAGGTAGGAGTCAGGTCTTTCACACTTTTGATGCATTAATCACTAACAAAACATGCAAAGTTTTAATTTGATCTCTGTCATTCTCATTTGTTCTCCCCTTCTTTAAAAAAAAAGAAGGTGTTTTTTAACCAGACTTTTTTGTTTTTAAATCGGGGTAGTGAGGGGGTTCTTTACAACTGGTGGGGTGGAGAAAATGGTCTTTACAACAGCTCTTGGTCTGATTTTAGTAAAATGTATGTTTGTCATATTGTTACTGCTGCAGCTATTGTTTATCTTATTGTTACTGCTGCAGCTATTGTTTGTCTTATTTTAAGTTTTTTTAAAGAATGTTTTGTCTTATCTTTACTGTTTATCTTATTTTATCTTCACTGTAGCTATTGCTTGTCTTGTTTTTACTGTAGCTGTTTGTCTTATCTTTACTACAATAGTAATATTTTAAATTTACATATTTTATCAACGGGTCATTGCTGAAGTTCAATTTTTTTATGTGACATTTAGGAGGCAGTAAGCCACATTGTGTAGAGATTAGGCCAAATTGGATAAAACCCCAGTGCAAGGAAATCTGTACTCTTGATTTTAAAGACATCTGAGCTTGAGTGTGTTGTTTTTAATTGTGTGTGAGCTATATTCTACTGATACTAAACTATGGCAGTAAAGTGTATATGTTTTGATCCAGTGTTAAATTTATGCTTGTAATCTAGGGGAGCAGCCAAGAAACGTATAGCAGATGAAAGAGGCCTGTCACCCAGACCCAAGCGCTCCTGTGTTGGTGATGAGAGCACTCTGGTAAGAGCTGCCCTTTCATATTTATGAGTTTTCTCTGAGAGACTGCACTACCCCAAGGTAGACTGAATAGGGCAGCAGTCTTATAGTTTGCACCCTAGCAAAATCTTGGAACAGTACACAACAGCCAGATGCAGGATGCGCTCAAGGCAGCCATTAGAACTCACTGAGAAAAAAGCGGGACGGGTCGTGTCAGAACTTTGCTTGAGAGGACAGGTAGTGCAAGAATACTGGTTGTGTGCTACAGAAATACATGGGAAGATCCTAAATCTGGTCAGTTAGCAGTCTGGTGGAAACCAGTCTGTATTGATTAGTGGAGTTTATGCATCTTCATAGAGTTCCAACAGAAGACTGATAGGTGAAGATGTTGGATGTTACTAATAATTCCAACTAGGAGGTGAAAATATTGCATGTTTCTTATAGTCCCAACAGAAGTATGAGAGGTTAAAATATTGTTTGTTTCTAGTAGTCTCAACAGAAGACTGATAGGAGGAGATATTGGATGTTTCTTATAGTCCCAACAAAAGTATAAGATGTGAAGATTTTGGATGTTTCTAATATAACAACAGAAGAATGAGAGATGAAGATTTTTATGTTTTTTATAGTCCCAACAGAAGAACTATAGGTGAAGATGTTGGGTCTTTTTAACAGTCCCAAAAGAAGAATGAGAGGTGAAGTGAAGATTTTGATTTTAGTCCCAACAGAAGAATGAGAGATGAAGATGTTGGATGTTTTTAATAGTTCCAGTAGGTGAATGAAGGAGGAAGTTGTTGGATCTAAGCCCAGATACATAGAGAGTAAGAAGTAATGTCAATAACCAACTTTTCTTTTTCCTCCAGAACATAAGGTCTCCCCCACAGTCCACATCATCGCCTCTAAAGAGGAAAGGTAAAGAACTGTAGATGTGTTTTAATGTCCTTCTTATTGTTCTCTTTGATATCGGTATGGGTTGAAGTTGTAAAACTACAGTCATGATCTTAGATTTATCTATGATATCTCAGATTCATATGTGATTGAAATTGAGAAAGATAATTCAGTATCTGCAGGTTTGTTAGTGGAGTTTTTAAAAAAAAAATTTTAATTTTATTTGTGTGCATTTATTGGTTGTAAACTCCAGCGGAAAGTTCTGGTTGTTTGTTCACTTCTGGACTTTAGTGTTTTCCAGGGCTTGAGTGTTGCATGACAGATTTGATTTATTTGTGTAGAGACTGCTGGTACTTGTTTTTTGTGTGTGACTACAGCATAGGATATGTTTGTAAGTTGATGGAAGCTCAGATCTGTGCGGGGAAAAGCACAAAGTATTTAAGATGTTTTGTTGTTAACCCAGTTGATATATAAAGGCTGTATCCTCTGATATCTGTGTGTGCTGATACTATCCGAGGTCTGTGTGTGAGTTGATATGAAAAATCTGCAGGTTGTGTCTGAAATCTGTGTGTGTGTTGATGTGACAAATCTACAGATTGTGTCTGAGGTCTGTGAATGGGTTGATGCATCAAATACAGGCGAGTCTGGATAAGTAGAAGTCGCAGGGGCCTAAGAAAATGCTTCCACTTATCAGGACTTCTACTTATCCAGACAGCACAGACAATAGAGAAAATTGCCGGGACTAAGATGATCATGTCGACTTAACCAAAATTTGGCTTATCCGAGTTCAACTTACTTGGACTTGACTGTATACAGATTGTATCTGCGATCTTTGTATGGGTTGATGCAACAAATCTGCAGATTGTATCTGAGGTCTGTGTGTGTGTTAATGTGAAAAATCTACTGATTATATCTAATATCTGTGTGTGGGTTGATGTTACAAATCTACAGATTTTATCTGAGGTCTGTGTGTTATGTTGATGTGAAAATCTACTGATTATATCTAATATCTGTGTGTGGGTTGATGTTACAAATCTACAAATTGTATCTGAGGTCTGTGTGTGTGTTGATGTGAAAAATCTACTGATTATATCTAATATCTGTGTGTGGGTTGATGTTACAAATCTACAGATTGTATCTGAGGTCTGTGTGTGTGTTGATGTGAAAAATCTACTGATTATATCTAATATCTGTGTGTGGGTTGATGTTACAAATCTACAGATTGTATCTGAGGTCTGTGCGTTGGTTGCTGCAACAGATCAAAAGACTTTCATTTTATATTTCTCTTGTCTAGATGCTGCTCAGCTGAGTGAAGGCTATGACAAAGTTGCATCCCCAAGGAGGGTAAGTAGAATGATTGCACTTATTATAGATTGTTAACAGGATGAATAAACCTATTGCAGACAGTGTACAGAATAAATGAACATGGTAAATTGCAAGAATGAGTGGTGTTGTAGATTGTTTTTTGAATATATTGTAAAATATTTGCAGGAGAAAGTGAACAAATTGTAGTTTGTTTGTAGAACAAGTAAACATATCATAGATTGTTTGTAGGAGGTAACATATTATAGAATGTCTAAACATAAATTTTTTTGTAAAATGTGTAAACATACAGACCGTTTGTAGAATAAGTTGGGAAAAAAATGTGATGCCCATTTGCAGAGTCCGAGAGCATTCAAGTTCAACAGTGCTCAGAAGGTGACTTCTGGCTTCCTGAACCGCACTCCGGGCTTTGGTCAGAACACCAGCAAGCTGTGCAGCTTCCTTAGCAACACTCCAACCTGTCGCAGCACCAGCTTCCTCACATCCTTCCTAAAGAGAAACACACCGCCACCAAAACAGAACAATCAGGTACGTTGTTTACTTGTGTACAACACTTGATCAGAGAAACTGTGAAATACAACCAGGTCGACTTGTAGTGCCTTCCTTCATGCACCCATACCGCATGCAGCATCAGATTCGTTGTCGTGAGCAGTGTAGTGCCTAGCTGGTATAGACGTTATGCGACTGGATATAACAATTTTGACAGCCCATATGAAAATGTACCCGGCCTGCGGGTTGAAGAAAAATACTGTGGAAAAATATTTCATTCTTGCTGTGTTCTTAGTATGAAAGAAATTTTCATTCTTACTGTGTTCTGATTATGAAAGAATATTCCATGCCTATATTGTTCTACATACAATATTTTGGTTTCCTGCATAAATACAGGTTCTTCAGGAACAGAAGAGACAGAAATTATTAGAAAAGGAGAACAGAGACATGGAAAGGTTGAAGAGGGCAGCAGACTTGAGGAAGAAGCGGATTGAGGATCAGAAAAGGTAAATTTTAATGTCAGTTCTTCACCAATAACACTTGTAAAATCTTGTCAGGTGTTTCTACTTCACCGGTTTACACCTGTGTATGCCGTTGTCAGAGATTTTTTTAATTTTGAGATGTATACACCTGTGTATATTATTGTCAGATATCATTCTTGAGATGTTCACACCCTCTATATGATATTGTCAGGTATTTCATTCTTGAGATGTTCACACCCTCTGTATGATATTGTCAGGTATTTCACTCTTGAGATGTCCCCCTATATATGCTGTTGTCAAGTATTTTATTCTTGAGATGAGTTTTGAGTTGGACTATCTTCACAGCACTCCGGACACATCTATAGGTGCTCAGATTCCCCTCTTTACATATTCATCAGCGTCGCACAGTTAAAAGTGCCAGTCCTATGCTGGATGACAAGACTTCATGTGCGTTCAGTGTGCTTCTCATGCTTGGCTATGATGATCTTTACTCCTAATTCTTGTGTTCTTAGCAGTGATGTGGACACGTTGCTTCTACAATCCTTGGAACGTCTTATCTCTTTCTAAGGGCATTGACAATGTCTGTGTGATCCATGGGCTGGCCATCTTCAGTTAATGCAGCACCTGCCAGTCCATCAGCTCTTTCATTACCAACATCACCTGCCTGCCTTGGGACAAATATGAAGGTAACTGCACGCACAGGAGAGTTTTGCAACAACTCAAGCCACTGTCTGTGTAACCAGCCTGCCTCGACCAGCTGGTCATGCTCAAAGAGTCACTCAGCACACACACACGGGAATAGACCTGTAATTCTAGCTATATGAAAGCTTGTGTCACCGCTATCACCTCCATCATCATGCTCCAGGTAGTCTTGGAGAAAGCATCGCTTCTTGAACTGTTTTGCCTGAAAAGCAAGCTGTAAATTACAATTCTTAAGATGTTCACACCCTCCGTATGCTATTGTCAAGTATTTAATTCTTGAGATATTTACCTCTGTATGCTGTTGTCAGATATTTCATTCTTGAGATGTTCACCTCTGTATGCTATTGTCAAGTATTTCATTCTTGAGATGTTTACCTTTATATGCTCTGTATGCTAATGTCTAGTATTTCATTCTTTAGATGTTCACCTCTGTATGCTGTTGTCTGGTATTTTATTCTTTAGATGTTCACCTCTGTACGCTGTTGTCTGGTATTTTATTCTTTAGATGTTCACCTCTGTATGCTGTTGTCTGGTATTTCATTCTTGAGATGTTCACCTTTGTATGTTGTCAAGTATTTCATATATTCACACCTGTGTATGCCATATTGTCAGATATTTGTTACTTGACATGTTTACACCTGTTTATACTGTTTATGTTTCAGTGTTGTTAAATATTTGTTTTCCATTTTCTCATCATGTTATGCTTGTCTTCTTATAATCATTTTTCTTATAATAGTCCACTCTGTGTCAGTGGTAGTCTTCTTTTGTCTTCATAGCACTCACCAGCTGTAAACTTGTGTGGAAAGTTCTGGTTGCTTGGACCTTAGTCTTGCTGTACAGCCAAATAAGATCTCCTGAAAATATGCCCTTAAAGAAGGCTTGGGGTGAAGGGGGGGGGGGGGGATATAAGGCCTGGTAATTTTTTTTTTCTTTGAGACAACACTGTAGATTGTCTACTTCTGTTGCAGGTAATCAGTTCTCTTTCAAGACATCTTCATTACAAATTATATCAGTCTGTGGTGTTTTCATTATTCCATCTCCTCAGTGTCTGTGTACGTTTCCTATGCGTTTGTTCACATATAGAATAGTACACTTGAGATCTTCACCCTTACTCCATAGTTTGTCTATTAGCATCACTCCTGTGGGCCAGATTTAACCTCTCTGACTGACAGTCTATAAGACATGCTCTAGAGTTTGCTTTGGTGCACCACAGCTGTGTACAGAAGAATAAGCAGGACTCACTGAATCTAGGTGTTCTGTGTTTACAGTGTTTCCTTCTAAGCCTGACAATTTTGGTCCGGGAATTTCTCTAAACCTGGTTATACTATCATGCTCTGGTCTAGGAATTTCTCCAAGCCTGGTTATACTATCATGCTCTGGTCTGGGAATTTCTCTAAGCCTGGTTATACTATCATGCTCTGGTCTGGGAATTTCTCCAAGCCTGGTTATACTATCATGCTCTGGTCTGGGAATTTCTCCAAGCCTGGTTATACTATCATGCTCTGGTCTGGGAATTTCTCCAAGCCTGGTTATACTATCATGCTCTGGTCTGGGAATTTCTCCAAGCCTGGTTATACTATCATGCTCTTGTCTGGGAATTTCTCCAAGCCTGGTTATACTATCATGCTCTGGTCTAGGAATCTCTCCAAGCCTGCTTATACTATCATGCTCTGGTCTGTAATATTAACAACTATTAATGCTGACTGTCCATGGTTTACTTCTGTAGATTAGGGTTGGCTACATCGCTCCGTAGAACTTATTTTCCCTAAGCTGTCACTGGGATTTATGTTTTTTAAATTTGCTTTTGTTTATAATAATTTTAGTGGAGCGGCTGACCAAATGGTCGTGAATGATGGTCTCTCATTCAGGAGATCCAGGTTTGACTCCTCTATAATGTGGTGGCTTCTTCCTGTCTGCGAAAATAAAATTGTAATCTGCAGACCATGGCGACTGCTCTACCCGTGCGGCCCTAAATCCTCAGGCTAAAGACCACACCGCTCCATCATCATATACTGACATAAAAAGTGGTAAATGCAAGCATTAATGACAGGAGTTTTTGTGTGTGTGTGTGTTTTTTTTTTAATGCATATTTTCTCAAATAATGTTGCTATTGTCATGTAATCTGTCTCTTTTTAGAATGAGAGAAGAGAAGGAGCAAAAGGTAGCAGAGGCGCGGGGTGTACGCCTGCGTAATGAAGAGGAGTATAAAAATCGAATCAACAAAAAAATGGAAGACAAAGCTACACTCAAAGTCAAAGTGATGGAAGAGAGAATTAAAGAGGAACGTGAGAAGCAGAAGCAAAGGTCAGAATATATATGTATATTTTTTAATATATTTGTAATATATTTTGTTTTGGGGTGTTGGTCGCATTAATCATGCCAGACAAGACATATGAGGTTATAATTATGACAAGTACTGTGTGCTACTGGAACAGTCGGCATCTGCAGCTCAAGACATTGTCTGCGGACGATGGAGAATCTGTGTGTATGCCTGATGTGCTGTGATGGTAATTAGAAAAGATGAGGAGCCAACAGGCTGCACTCAAATGAGCAGGGTTGGTAAAATTGATCTACATGCAATAGTGAAGTTCTGGAACAAGGTCAAACTCCAGAAGTGGACAAACAACCAGAGCTTACAGTCAGGGAGTGCTAAGAAGAAGAAAGAAGAATGTTTTTCATCTTGCAAAAGACAACTTTTGTCACTACAATTCTTGTTCTAAACCCTCAGTCATCTTGAATTAGATGTATATAAACAAATATATAAGAGTATATAAGAGTCTTTTTAGGGGGAGGGGGCTAAAGTAACAAAGGTAAAGGACCCTTTTCCACGCCTTTAGGCGTATAGGGCTAGACCTATATTTTTATAGACCAATCGGCACAAGATGGGTGATGTGGTCAACATCACGCCGGCGGCCTTTAATTCCCGGGGCTGCACCCGGTACCCACTCAAGGCTGGGTTGACCTGGGAGCCAAGGTCATTTGGGGGGGGGGGGCAAAGAGTAGGTGTAAAAGTAAAGAACCCTTTTCCACACCTTCAGGCTTATGGGCATATAGGGCTATTTTATAAGCCAATCAGCACTCCATGAGTAATATGGTAAACATTATGCCGGCCACTGTTTCTTCCCAGGACTTTACTTGGTACCCATTTAAGAAAGTCATTTTTAAAAGGAAAAAATGTATGACCTAAACCCATGACCTTTGAATCTGCAGTCAAGCATCACCAAGGCAGCTCCCCCCTAAAAAAGGTATAGGGAGGCCTAAAGATGTAAAAAGAGAAATTAGGCGACTTGAACATATGTTAATAAAGCAATGAAAGGGGGGCCTAAAGACACATGTAAAAAAAAGGAGATTGGGCGCAATGACATGTACACAAAAAAAGTTGGGTGGGGGGGTAGAGACACATGTTAAAAAGAGATTGGGGTGAAGCTACAGGCGCATGCAGTTAAAAATGAAAAGGGAATGGGTACTAAAGACATGTTAGAGATTGTAGTGTGTGACCTAAATGCATGCAGAGACGCATGTAAAAAAAAGAGATGGGGAGCTAAAAACAGTTTTAAAAAATGGGTAGAGGCCTAAACAGATCTGTAAAAAGGTAAATGGGCATGGAGACCTCTGATAAATATGGGATTGACATTAAAGGCTAAGAGACGGCTCATAAATATGAGGAGGATGTAAACTGAGTTGCAGGAGATGGCATATGATAGGAGAGTTTGCCACGGTGGTTGAGAGGGCTGTGAATTGATTGAGGGATTTCTGAGCTGATTGGGGAGCTGTGAGTTGAATAAGAGACTGTGAGTTGACTGAGGGGCTGTGTTGTTGGTTGAGAGTCTATGCTCTAAGTGAGGATAAAAGGCAGAAGATTAGAAATAAAATGATCAGGGTTCTTCTGATCAACATTGATTTACTGTTTGTGATGATATTTTACAACTGTCAGATTGAGGAAGCAGATGGAGGCGGATACCAGAAGAAAAGTTGAAGAGGAAGAAAGACTGAAGAAATTTCTTGAACAGGTTTGTGTTACATGCATGACATCTGTGGTCTTAACATACACACTGTCTACATAAATGATGTTAGCATGCATACTGTTTACATCTTTGATGTTAATTTGTACACTGTTGATATCTTTGATGTTACCATGTATGCTTTTTTTTGCATCTATAATCTAAACATGCACATTATCTTCATATATGGTGTTACATGCATTCTGTTTATACATTGGATATCAAAATTGCTGTATTGATTTGATCAGCAGTTTTGTTAAATGCTTAGCAGTTACCAAGTGCTAACCATTTGAGGATTCAAGTGCTGGGTTCAAAGCTCTGTGTTATAGCAGGTCACTACTAGATGTAGCAATATATTGGACATCTGGCAAGTCAGTCACTACTACATTTAGACTAATATTGGACCTGTGGCAGGTCGCTGCTACATGTAGCCATATATTTATATTGGACCTGTGGCATGTCACTACTAGATGTAGCCATATATTGGACATCTGGCAAGTCAGTCACTACTCCATTTAGTTTAATATTGGACCTGTGGCAGGTCGCTGCTACATGTAGCCATATATTGGACCTGTGGCAAGTCAGTCGCTACTACATTTAGACTAATATTGGACACATGGCAGGTCACTGCTACATGTAGCCATATATTGGACCTGTGGCAGGTCACTGCTACATGTAGCCATTTATAAGACCTGTGGCACATACATAGTTTGTCTATTGAACCTGTATCAATCATATATTTGTGTCTGTTTAATTTATTCAGGAGGAGGAAGCAAAAATGCATGAGGAGTTTATGCAGAGAAAAAAAGAGTTTGAGGAGGCAGAACGAAGACGACAAATTGCTGAAGAGAAAAGGAAGCATGATGAGCGATTAGCAGAACTTGAACAAAGGCGCCAGGAAGAATTAACACGGCTGAGACTAGCAGAGGAAGAGAAGGAAAGAGAAAGAGAACGCACCAGATTAGAAAAGTAAGTTATGTATCTATCTGCAGTATTGTGTTGTTGAAATTAACACACATTCTGATTTATCTCACAGGAACAACCTGGCCTCAAGTTAGATTGCATACATCCTACAGACTGTCTTGCTGTTGTGTGGGTCATATTCTAGAGACTACATCTTGTTGTGTGGGGAATTATTGTGTGGCACATACTAGAGACCATATCTTGTTGTGTGGGGAATTATTGTGTGGCACATTCTAGAGATTACTTATTGTGTGGCACATTCTAGAGACCCCATCTTGTTGTGTGGGGAATTATTGTGTGGCACATTCTAGAGACTACATCTTGTTGTGTGAGAAATTATTGTGTGGCACATTCTTAAGATTACTTATTGTGTGGCACATTCTAGAGACCACATCTTGTTGTGTGGGGAATTATTGTATGGCACATTCTAGAGATTACTTATTGTGTGGCACATTCTAGAGACCACATCTTGTTGTGTGGGGAATTATTGTGTGGCACATTCTAGAGACTACATCTTGTTGTGTGAGGAATTATTGTGTGGCCACATTCTAGAGATTACTTATTGTGTGGCACATTCTAGAGACCACATCTTGTTGTGTGGGGAATTATTGTGTGGCACATTCTAGAGACTACATCTTGTTGTGTTGGGAATTTGTGTGTGGCACATCCTAGAGACTACATCTTGTTGTGTGGCACATTCTAGAGACTGAATCTTATTGTGTTGGGAATGACTGTGTAGCACATTCTAGAGACTATATCTTGTTGTGTGGGGAATTCGTGTGAGGCACATTCTAGAGACTACATCTTGTTGTGTGGGGAATTAGTGTGAGGCACATTCTAGAGACTACATCTTATTGTGTGACACATTCTAGAGACTACATCTTATTGTGTGGCACATTCTAGAGACTGAATCTTGTTGTGTGGGGAATTACTGTGTGGCACATTCTAGAAACTACATTCACTAGAGCAGGCTGCTGAAATGTTACACACCACCAGTTCTGACTGCCACCAAGTGGTCATCTTCACAGATGCGCTATCAGTGCTCCAAGCTTTAAGAGTGGTAAACTCTTTCATTTGAGATCTAAACTTAGCAAGGTGCCTGCCCAAACGCGTACTGTACTATAGTGGATGCCATCCAACAGTGGTATACCACTTAACAAATCCGTGATAAACTTGCTAAGAAAGGGGCAGAATGTGAACAGGAAGAGAATGCAGTAACATACTTTGAGGAGAAAAGGGCCATCCAGTCTGTCACACATAGAAGGATATCTTTGCCAAGGCAAATATAGTATCTATTGGGGGGGGGGGGGGGGGAGCTCTATACTACTGGTGTCAAAAATGGACTAAAGTTAATCAATGCAAAATCATAATCATAGATATGATACCCTAGAAGAGCTGCTAGAATAGCAAGAAAAGGTCAAATATAAAATGAAGACATTAAATGTTGAATCGACATCACAGCACTTGGGATACTTCCATAAGTGCTCATTCCCTATCTTTAGCAGCAAGCAAAGAGTTTCAATTCAGATGGTACCCAGTAACTGATTGCATATCCATCTCATCTTTCCCCTGAGTGTTGAGCGTCGGCCAGATTATCTAGTAACTCCTCGCAGCGCCTCCGCACTATTTACTTGCTCCCAAAGGGCCCTTACATTATCTAAATTGTTAAAGACATTAGAAGAAAACTAGGATTGAAATCAGTCATACACTTTATTCAAGATCAGCAGTAAAGTTGGTTTGGTCATTTGTGAGTCATGCTGAAAAAATAAAATGAACATAAAGGAAGACTACACACAAAAATAGAATGGCACCATTAAGAACAACTTCACATAGGCAGGCCGTACCTCTCCCTTCTAGCTCTAGGATGAGGTAGCTGGAAGAAGAGAAGAATACAATGTGACACCTAGTGGGAACTATGTGTAGCCCTCAGTGCAGAATAGACTTCTCAATGTCACTGGCAGTGATACAGGTGCTCTAATGATTGCTGTTTATGTTGCTGTTTTACATGGCATCCTTTTGTCTTTTTTAGTGCAGTTGGGTGGGCTAGAATATGTAGGTCCTGTCGTGGTAATAGAGAATGTCAGTCTTGTAGTTCATATGCATGAAGCCTCGTCCTACTTCTCAAACTGTCTGGACTACATGTTGCTTTGTAACCCTCGGGGACCCCAATAGAACATTGCGGTTGAACTGGGGGGTTCTGGGATTTGTTCCTGAGGTATTCTCATCCAAATATTGACACCTTTTAAGTCACCCGGTCTTAAACACACAGTGTGCCATCCTAGTTCAACTTCACTCACTCACATGCATATGTCAGTTGTCATATGACAGCCCTATATATTTGTGAAGTGTGTGTAATTATTTTTTCTTTGATTTGTGTTTTCTTAATGTTGCCATTTTATTCGTTGAAGAGAAAAGCAGACTGCACATGAAAGAGCAGAAAGAGAACGAATGGAGAGGGAGAAAAGGGAAGAGAAAGACAGAAAAATTCAGGAAGAAATAGAGAAACTGAAAGCAATGGTGGGTAATAAATATGTTGTCATTTTTATATACTACTTATTTATGTTTGTCCTTTTCTTCCCAGTTTGTGTTTTTTCTTTCAGTCCCTGTTTTCTACTGCTTCCTGTCTGTTGATGATTGTATTGTGTCTTGGAATTGACATGTTTAAACCTTTCTCCTTGTGCGGGTTCCGGGACCTGGGGGGGGGGGGGGGTAATAGTCCCACTGTTCCGTAACTAATGTGTTGTGAAAGGCGACTAATTCAGGGTTTACTGAAGTTGAACCCGAAACACTGATGATATCAGTTTAGCAGTAAACAACAGCAACTATATATGCATAGATGATCTTACATACTAATCAGTTTGGCATAAAGGTTAGGCATTCTAAAATGATTGCTTTTACATGAGTTCAGCATTATTTGTGAAACACTTTCTGCAACAGTATTTAGCACAGTGCAGTTCAGTTGTGATATTTTACATTGAACATCCCACTATGGATTATATGATTAACTGTGATTATTTTATTTACATAGCACAGGATTGTCTGCCTTAATTGCCACTGCTTATGCTAGTTTTAATAGTGGCCTATTCAGTGTGTGATAATAAATAGCTCAAGGCACTGCCCCTATTGAATGTGATTATTGCATGTTTGTAGGAAAAGGAGCGTCTGCGAAATCAGCAAGAAAGGTTGCAGCAACAAAAGCAAGAGGAAGTTCATCAGAATGTTATCAGGCAGATGATCACCAAACATAACAGCAGCCTGTCCAAACAGGCAACAGGACTGAACAGCTCCACTTCAGGCAACACTAGCAGCAGCAAGATCAGCAGGTAGATGTTGCTTTTGTACAGACAACATTGTTAGTTCTGTGTGCTTTTCTTCTTCTTTAATGTTACTCCAAATTAGCACAGTGGCTAGATACTGCTGGCCGTATCGTATCGTATAAAATCAAACAAAAATTCCAAGCTTAGTCCTTTTTAGCCGCCTCATGGCCTGCTTTTTTAAGGACGGTTCCTTTGCTATCTTATTTATTTATCTTCCTTTGTGGTGAGCAATTACACCTGAATGCTGGCCCAAATGTTTTTGGTTTAAATCTGCATCATGGTCGATTTTTTTTAAAATAATTGATCTTGGTTCCCATCCAAAAATAGGCAGTAGGAAATGTTCTGGGAAGTAAAGGAAGCTGGTGTGGTGTTGACCATTTCACCCATAGAATACTGATTGGGCTTTTTTCTGATTTCAGGTTTGAAGAACTTTTTAATTGTGCACATTGAATGCATCACCACTTGTTACATTTCTGTAGTGTGCCACATATTCCCTAGGTAAATAGGGGGTGCTACAGTCAAGCTGATGACAAGAAGTGCTAAGTAACATAAAATGTGACATGAAAGCTCAAAGAAGGGAATTGAAAAGACATGCACAAATACTACTGAACGTTTCAACCAGTCTTTATCAATGGAATACTGAAAACATCAAACTGTGACTGGAAAACTCAACAGAGAAGAGCTTTAAACAACGAAGGTCAACCTGAAACAGGGGGGGGGGGGGGGAGAATGTAAGGACATGTAGGGTTATATTACAATTGGAATGGGTATGAAGGCATTTGAAAATGGAGGGAGAAATATAAAGTTAAATAAATGAAAACATTTCTAAAGTTAAATATAGCTGTGTTCTTCTTCTTCTTCGCGTTCATCGACTGAAAACTCCTGCGAAAAGTTCCGGTTGTTCTCCACCCCTGGACATTATTAGTCTTGTTCCAGAACATAAGTGTAGCATGCACTGACCAGGGTGAGGTACTAGGTATCTGCTTATACACAACACCCTCAACATTCCCTTACACCTGTGACTGAATCACAGTGCTACTGATACATTCTAGAAAATATATTTTACTGTTGTGTAGGCAATTAGTGTGGGACATATTTGTCATTCTTTTTCTCATCTTTTATCCCTATTCTGCTCCATTCCTCCCTATTTTTTAAGAAAATGCTTATAAATATTGTTTTCCCTCTGGCAATAGTTACGACATCACCCCAGTCAAGGAAAAGTTTGTCACCAAGAACAAGACTGCAGATAACTATGATATAGAAGACAAAGGTTCTGATGATTCCACGGACGATGAGGAAGCACCCAAGAAAAGAATACCGGAATGGGCAACAGGTAAATAATTATACGTTATGAGGACACAGTCTATCTATTCTATATCCTATTCATGTCTCTGTTGACACATAAGGCATTCACAAAACGATCTCCATTGCTGTCTGTCTATTACTTTTCTGCCTTAGAATGATATTTCATTTTGCATTTCCCTTACCACTGTCCTTCTCCAGATTTCCTTAGGTCGTCTGTGTCTTCTTTTCCTATCTGCCATCCATCAGAGAGCTGTCGTTGTCATAGTGTTACAGGGCATTCTGGAAACATGTCCAAGCCATCTCCATCTTCTTCCTTTGATAACATACAATCAGTATATTTTGCAGTTTTTTCTTCTTCTTTGTGTTCACCAGGTGTAAACTCTGACAGAAAGTTCAGTTTGTTCGTCCACCTCTGGACTTTAGTCTTGTTCCAGAATCTGAGTGTTGCGTGAACATCTATTTTACAGATTGAATGCAGATTGTTGGTTCCTTGCCTCTCAGGCAGATGCACTCCGACTTCAGAGGAAGCCTCTAATTATTTGACTCCTATGACATGCTTGTTGGGGAGGCATTGGATCTATTATTTAATTCCTTAACAATGGGGACCCAGAATCCACACCTAGAATTTGCACAATCTAATGCCAGGCACATTTTGCAGTATCTCATCACGTGTGTTGCTACAGTTTACATCATCATCAAATGAAATCATCTTGTTAGTTTACCAGCTGTAAACTATGGCAGAAGGTTCTAGCTGTTCTTTCACTTCTGGACTTCAGTCTTATTAAAACGTGTGAATTATGCACGTCCTCTCCCTGTCAGCACACATGACTTCCCTGTCAGCACACATGACTTCCCTATCAGCACATTACCTCCCTGTCCTCACACATGACTTCCCTGTCAGCACATTACCTCCCTGTCAGCACACATGACTTCCCTATCAGCACATTACCTCCCTGTCCTCACACATGACATTACCCTATCAGCATGACCCGTCACACATTACCTCCCTGTCCAAGACATGAACATCACATGTGTTATCATCGCCACATTACCTCCCCATACTCATCATACATTGGTCCCTGTTTTTTCCTGTCCGCAATCTTCAATCCCCTTCTTGTGTTATTTTTTCATATTGGTCAGTTTTTTAATCTTCAATCCCCTTATTTTTTAATTGATGTTGGTCTTGCTATGACTTTTATATTATCTGGAAATAACATCACACAATTTATTTATTTTTTCCATTTTCTAGGAATTCCACTAAACACAGCCCTGATTCGACAGCACATGAATCCACCTGATGCCGAGGCAATATTCCAGACCCACCGCATCGAACCCCCTAACTTGGTTCTAGTTTTCCCTGGCAAGAAAAGAGCCAAGTACACTCAGAGAACTAGTTCGGCCATCTGGAATTCTCCACCCATGCCTCGACATTGAACTGAATTCTCTTAGCCATATTTATCATTCTTTTATTATTTTGAAGAAGGTGAAAGCTACTGAAAGGCTCGACTTATATGGATTTTAATATTTGTCGTTAGTTCTCGTTAGCAGATTATAGCTGACTTGTGTGAACGTTGTGCTAGGTCATTCACTTTTTTAGATGCTCACCAGCCGACCCGAAAGGTTTTATGTTAAAATCCAAATTGAGGACATTTTCGTCTTCTCAAAATTTAATTTTGGATCCTGTGAAGTAAGTAAACAAGGTTTCATAATGTCGACCTCCATACCCACTGAGTTGCCAGTTGGTCTAAAATTAAATGATACAATTATGAGTCTAGCATCATATGCTACTGGTGTTTAAAAAAAATTGAGGGAGGTTGGGGGGGTGTTCTTTACTTGTACATTCAGTGCTTGTTCATTTGTGTCTGTATTACTCTGTCACTGTGTTTGCTAGTTCATTCAGTTTGTATATGGACATTTGTATCAGTTCATTTACTGCTTGTACATGATTACTCAGTGTTTGTATATTAATGTTCGTACTGGTTCCGTATATCCAACCGAGACCTGACAGATCGTGTTTGTATTTACCATGTGGGTTGCGGAGCCATACAAGGCAACTAATTAGGGAAGTTTCCTTCGAAGTCGGAGTGCATCTGCCTGAGAGGCGAGAAATCAACCGTCAGCACGCATATAGGTAAGCCAGATCAGTAAGACGGATGTGTCTGCAAAACTTAAGTGCTGGAACAAGACAACAGTCCAGAATAACTGTCAGACTTACATTCAATGAAAGTTCAGACGAGGTGTTTGTATTTGTTCTGTCACTGTTTCTACTAAATCATTCAGCATTCGTACATTGGTTTGTGGGCAATGTTTGTATATCAATCAATGTATATGTTACCATTCAGATTAGCAAACGGAAGAATCCATTTTTATACCTGTGTATGCGAGTGTGTGTTGCTGCTGACACTAGGATATCACAAAGACAGAAAATAATATCTGACCAAAAGATTGCATTCATATTCCCCGACTACCTCTGGCATGCAGCCGGGAATTTGCTCACTTGTCGTCGTCACCGACCACAAATAATTTTTAACAGATTTCTTAGTTTGCTGAAATAAATTAGCTTTGATTTTAAATTTTTTTTTTAAACATGGACTGCGATGAGATGCCTAAATTAATTGTTGCTTCCACTGTCTCGGCACACATTTATCTTGGACAAACTGCTGGGTCCTGGGATTTCGGCTGTTTCCATTGATAGAAGCACTCGGTGACTACATTCACTCATTGTTGCATATCTGTAGAATAAATCAGTTTTTAATATTGTGCGCACATGTGTATTTCTTGTCCATATCTCTGTGTTTTGTGTGTGTGTGTATTTCTATACCTCTCTATACTGCTTGTATTTACTAGATTTGAGGACAAGGAGGGTCTTTAGCCTAAAGATGTAGGGCTACATGTTTAGGCATGATTTTTTTTTTATGGCCCTGAAAAAGAAAGGTCCATCACTGTATTGTTCAGAGGATTTGAACCTGGGTCTTTTACACAAGAGCCACACAACCTGGTGGCTCAACCAGCTGCTCGCGTTTTCATTGTCTGAAATTTTCCTGTCTATGTTTATGCATATTTCTTGTTTGTCTGAATTTTTCCTGTTTGTGTGTGTTTGTACATGTCTGGTCTCTATGTCTGTGTATGTTTTATTTCTATAGTTATGGATATTTCTTGTTTTTCATTTTTCTTCTTTCCTGTTTTGTCTATGTTTGCATGTTTCTTATATGTCTGATTTTTCCAGCTTTGTCTATGTTTATGCATATTTCTTGTCCTCTGTGGATGTATTTTTTCCTGTTTGTAATTTGGCGTGATGAAACATGTTTGCTCTGAAAATGTTGGCATCAACTGCTTTAAACTTCAACACAATTAGATAAGTTGATAGGTTTGGCTAGCTCTGCTATCACTACCAATGGTCACCCTATGGATCATGCTGATATTAATAATGCCCTAAGAGAAATGGGAAGGATAGAGGACTTTAGAGGCAGTGAATCCACATCACTCACCAGAATGGCAGACTTAGAAGTTAACAAAAAACGAGACGCACACCAGACGACTTGTTAATCAACATAGAACTGGTACTATTAGCCATCAGACGTTATGGTTCATACTTAGGGGAGGATCTAAGCACGTATGGACATGTCCGGGTTGCAGTGATAATAACACAACTAACTAACTATTGGAGGATCTTGGTTTTGCAGATATATTGTTCTGGTATGTAAAAACATAAGTGTCTTGCAAAGAAAATAGATGATTCAGCAATTATAGCATTCAAACTGGAAAGAAAAGCAAAAGGAATATTTGGACAACCGCTGGTAATCATCATCAATTTCCACTTCTGCTGTTGAGCGAAGTGGGAAGGAACAGTTTGGGATCCATTGCCAGACGGGCAGCAATGACTATTGTCATTCCGTATCAGTGCATAAGCTATTTGATGTCATCAATCCACATTCTCCTATGGTGACCTTCTTGCTTCCATTTCAGATCTTTTCATGTGTAGCGCCTACGTTGGTAGTTGATCTGGCTGCATTCTTACTAGGTGACCAAACCATTTATCTTTTGTTTCTGAATGAATTTGCTGCATGGTGTTGTTCCCATGCCGGCGTGATACTGACCACATCACCCACCAAGTACCGATTGGTCTATAAAATCATAGGTCTAGTCCTATATTCCCAATACACCTAAAGGCGTGGAAAAGGGACCTTTACTTTACTGTTGCCACAGTCTATCTAATAATATAATTTCTAACTTTGTCTGGGATGGTTAATTGGCGGCTTTTCTCAGGCATCTAATTTTATGTAGGTTAGCCTTTAATAATGGCCAGGTCTGACACTGGTAGCACAGTGTTGGTATGAATATGCTGTTTATAATCAGTTTTTTTTTTTTTTCAATCATACTTATGTTTTAATAATTTCAGTTGGCATTATAAGTGCACTGGCTTGCTGGCATCTTGTTTCTATTTTCCTATTCTATTCTCCCGTCCCCTGAGAATATAATTCCCAAATATTTAAATTCTTTAACTTGCTTCAGTCAAGAACCATTCAACCCTATGTGTAGTGGACTAGGAATTCTACTGACCTGCATTATTTCAGTCTTAGTCATATTTACTTTCATGTTATGTCTTCTGCATGTTAACTTTGTTCAGATGGTTTTGCAGTTTCTCTCCTAATTATAGAAAAAACACTAGACTGATCATCTTCAAATAATAGCTGGTTTATTATGTGTGGATCTAATTCTCTTTCTGGAAAGTAAAATTCTTCATTTTCTGGGTCAGCTGCTTTAAATCTATCTTCTTTTGATATTCTGTCTATTAAATAAGAGGGGGAAAGAGCTGGTATTAACTTTAATAAGACACATAAAATAGTGGTGTAGGGCACATCACGAGGAGAAGCTTGCAGAGAATCACAACGCACCTAAATTAATACAAATGCTTGGGGGAAGCATGGAAGCCCAAGAGAAACCCTACAGTGAGAGAGGCAAGTGGATTGCATCCATGATATCAAGAGATTTTACAGGATAGAACGTAATGAAGCAATAGACTGCGGCAAACCCTGTTGTGACGTCTGAATGGTGATCCTCTATGCCTTGACACCATTCCCAAAGAACATCTTTTCTTTTAATCTCCCCTGCCTCCTCTCCCTGATCCCCTACCACCTTTTTAAAACATACCCCAGTCGTCTTCTTATAATACATCCATAGAATATAGATGGTCTTTTCTGATGTGGGTAATCATATGTGGTGGGGCACTAGGACTAGGGCCTGTACTGAGCAAGACCTGTCTACGCCTCTCTGCTGTCATCCTAGAAACATGTTCCCAACCTCGCCTGGTCATCATAGATAGGAGTTACAATTCCTTGAGAAGCTAGGAACCAACAGTTTTTGCACACACAAATTACAGATGTGCATGCAAATGTCAAGCCCTGGAACAATATCATAGTCCAAAAGTGGACGAACAGGAAGGACTTTCTGCAGATGTTTCATGTTGGTGACACATTTTAAACAAACATTATTTTATGACACATACAGTCGAGTCTGGATAAGTAGAAGTCGCAGGGACCTAAGAAAATGCTTCCACTTATCAGGATTTTTACTTATCCAGACAAACACACACAATAGAGAAAATTGCCGGGACTAAGCTGATCATGTCGACTTGACCGAAGTTCGACTTATCCGAGTTCAACTTAAGTAAGGACTCGACTGTAACTCAGTCTAAAAACAAAGCATATGTTGAACTAATCACTTTTAAATGAGACGGACACACGTTTATGTGACTCTTACATTACAGCTGACACAATAATGTGTTGTGAGACACTGGAATGCTCTGTAAACGCCTTCTGCGTTATTCTTCTTTTATATTGATCTGTCTATTCTTCTTCAGCATTCTGTGCCATTGAGGTTCATTGCTGCAGATATCAACCTCCTCCATTCATCTCTGAGTTGGTGACACCAAGTTTTTGTAAGTTTTTCTAGATATTATCTCTCCATCGTCTTTGTTGTCTATGACCATTCACCTCCCTTGTGTATACAGTTTTTACCTCTCTGTCATCTGACATTCTCTCAATATGCCCCAACCATTTCAGTCTGTTAACTCTCATTATGCCAGTGATCAATGGTGATGTATGAATTTCACTGCTGCTTCTCACTCTCCATTCCCCGCTGATTGCATCTTTGATGGGTGTAAAGATTCATCAGAAGACTGTTTTCGAAAAGGTGTAATAAGGCTTTGTCTCTTTTTAGTTGTGCTCCAAGTTTCAGAGCTATGTAAAACGACTGGTCTTATCAATGTTTTACATATATATTTTGAGTTTATATCCTTTCCCTATCTTATTATCATGTCTTGTTGATTGATAACTAGTCTCATTTTGTGGGCTGCTTCTTTGGATCTGTTATGTTTCAGTGACTAACTCCATTATGTTCCATATTACAAATAGTTTGACACTTTAAGGTTGTTG